TCGTTCCCGAGCGTGCATGCTCTCTTCAGTGCTAACTGGTTTTCTTATTCATTGGTCCAGTGGTTCTAGATTTCCTCTGGCTCTTACCACCAAGGGGTCATCCAAGTAGGTCAAAGAAGAGGAAATGAAAGTGCAAGGGAAGGATGTGGGGGGGTTTGTCTAACTGTCCCCTGAGATACGTGGTCTACTCTAGATAAACTCCCCCAGTAACTCAAGAAGGGACACCCTAACAGTACAAACAGGCCTGACTTCCTGAAGGCCAAGTTAGCAAACTGGAAAAGGGAATGTGGTGACTTACTGGATCCCGTTACCGTTGACCGAGTCCCTAATAGGAGCTGACACTGTGCCAGGTACTTTCTGCATGTTTACTTCACTGCAATATCCCAGGATCACTATGCCCATTTTACAGATGAAGAAACAAAAGGATAGAGAGATGAAAAAATGGCTGGATTCAAATCACACGGCAAGGAACCAGCAACAGATATCCCAAGGCCAGTCTGCCTAATCTGGCGTGAAAGGAAAAACAGACCTGCTAGGTCAAATCCAGAGTTCCACGTGAGATTTAGACTCATTTTCTATCCTCTTAAATCTGTAGGTGTATGGTCAGCACCCAGAAATGCAGAAAGGAATGGGAACATTCTGCAGCAGGGCTAAAGAAGGGAACGTGAACTGTTTCTTCTCTCCCCAGAAAGATTGCTAAAGAGGGAACGGGCCATTAAAACTCAAGTTCACATACGGGCTCTGCTTCCCTGATGGCCTGTGGGGCTGTGGACTAAGTCATCCCCACTATCTGAGACTTCATCTCCTCATTTGTAAAAATAAAGGAGGTGATGCCCACCTCCCAGAGTGTTTGTGAGGGTGAAGTGTGCAGGCACAAGGCAGGTGCCTAGCCCAGTGCCCGGCCCCTTGGAGGCATCTAGGAAGAGCTGCCTTCCTTCCTTCCTGCCTTTAAGTGTCCTCAGTCCATAAAGGCAAGACTGAGCTCTCTGGAAAATCATGCCCAGTAATAAGAGTGAAGTTTCTGGAGCACTTAACGATACACCAAGTCCAACGCTGAGCACTTTCTACATGTGAGCTCATTTAATAAGTAGGTACTTCTGCTATCCTCACGTTGTAGGTGAAGCTGAAGCCCAGAGGGGCCAACTAGCTTACCTGAGGTCACCCAGCCAGTTAGGGGCAGAGCTGGATTCTCACGTACGTAACCTGATGGCTAAAACTGGCTTCTAACCCTTGCAATATTCTAGACCCTGGATGTGACTACGACCATCGGGGGTGAGCCACGTTAATAGAAGGACTCCTTGAAACCCAGCCTTCCCTGTTCCAGCACTTCTGAAGTTGGGGAAATGCAGGCACTCTTTTTGGGGGGTTGGGTGGGTAGTAGGAAGTGGGGGCTGCAGAAGCGAGGAAATAAAAAAGATTCTTCTGACTAGCCAGCAAACTCAACAGTCCAACATTTGGAACAAAAGAAAAAAAGCGTGGCAAACAGAGGTGTTGGACAGGATTCAGGTAAATCCCTTTCCCCTTCAGAGCAGGAATGCTGGATCACTAAGGGATGGGGTGGGAGGAGGGCAGCACTTGTGGGGTCCACATTTCACTTATCTAACACGTCAGGAGAAACTTTAACAAGATTAACTGCTGCTTGGGGTCTCTGCTCCATGGAGCAAATTGAGTCTATTGTTTTCTTTTTCTTCTCCTTTCTCTTTCTTTGGACTGGAGGGTTTTGGGGAGGGGGCCTTTGGGGATGAGGGGCAGGGGTCTGGATCCTGCCGGCTACGGGACAAAAGCAGAGGAGTGTGGAAGAAAGCCCGCCCCCCCACCCCCGGCCGGACTTGAAAGGGAGCCCAAATTGCCTTGCACGAAGGCAAGGCTGTGCCTAGGTGGTGGGTCCAGAAGGTGATGCTGTTTACTAGACGTGTTCTCTCAGCGGTGTGTGTGGGGGGTGGTGAGGCCTGGAAGGTGCATGCCTGAGATTAAAACCAAGTTCCGGCCCTCCAGGAGCTAAGTCATCCAGCAGCACCCCTCCCTCCCATCTCTGTCTCCCTACCTGGCTACAGAGAGAACTGCGGGGGGCGGGGCGGGGGGGGAAGGGTAACCCCTACGGACCCCTTTTCACTGTAACCTTAAAGGATTCTTCAAACCTCAAAACTCTCCATCATTGGTGGGCCCGTGGGAGAAGCCTTGACACAAGTACTTTCTAACTTTGTCTTTGTTTTTGCCTGCATCAGCCTTTCCCTTTTTATTTATTAATATATATATATATTTTTTTTCTTCTTCCCTTTTGGAAAAATAAAAGGCATGTTTTCTGAGCTTCAGAAGCACGCTGCTCCTTCCCTCCTTCCCCCTGCCTCTCCTGAGCGCGCCTGTCTGAACCGGTGTCAGTGAAGTTTGAACCGGGGCAGAAATAGCATCCCGGGCGGATCTGGGAGCACAGCCCGCCTACCAGGAGCAGCAAGGCCTGCCTCTGCCAGACGACAGACCCGGTTAACAGCACCGTAAAATTAGACCTTTACGAAACCCAATTGAATCCTGCAGCAAAGCGTGATGTAAGGCAGCCTGGCCTGACAGCGAGGCAGCAACCCTCTGCCTGAAATAGCAGTGCGCTCCCTGCTGAGAGATGCCTGCTCTCTCAAGATAGGGGACCAGGGATTCCTACGAAAGTGGCGACGCCCAGCTGGAGGGAGCCGGCCGAGGTCAGGCAGCAAACCGGGCGCCGGAGGTCGCAGGCGGGCAGGACGTGGCTGGGCACCGGCGTCCGGGCTGCCCACCTAGGCCCTGCCTCTCTCCGCCTGAACTTACACGAACGGAGGAAGGAGCCGAAAAAAAGTGCTTCTGCAAAGAACCTCTGTTTGTTTGCTTTTTAATTCAGGGAGAAGCAGGTTCTTTTTAGTCCAACAGTCTGTACCGTGTGGAGGATACGCAGAATGAGTCTTTTCTGGCTCAGGGCCAGGTGTTTACACACCGCCAATTCTGGCTCAGATTCAAGGAGGGGAGGGAAAAAAAAATCCACCAGAATCCTCAGGAGAAAAGCTCCTGGCTTTCTGGTACTACACGACAGCGGTGCCTTTTCTTTTTCTTTCTTTCTTTTTCTTTCTTTCTTTCTTTCTTTCTTTCTTTCTTTCTCTCTCTTTTTTTCATTTTGAGAGGAATGTTATTTCCACACATAAAATGGGCCAGGCATTTTATACAAGCAATAATAACCTAATGTCCCCCATCCAATTAAAGTGTTTTACTGCACAATCTTTGTGTGAGAGAGTGAATGAGTGCTCAAGAGAACGCGTGTGAAGAGAGGCTCCTTGTCTGAATTATAGACATTTATAAAGCAGGCTCCTGAGGAATCCCAGGTGTTATATATATATATATATTTTAAAAAAACCGTATTTACTACCTTTTCATTGATGATACCTATATAACTCTGGGCCCTCCCCTCTGGAGGAAAAGCATTCCAACTCACTAGCATGACAGGTAAAGCTTAGGAAAGATCAGATCTACTCATTTTTTTTTCATCATCCCCAAGGAGTAGGCTCTGTGCTTCTCCGATGTTCCGAAAGAGAAGTAAACATACCATAGCCCTGAATTATCACCATCATCATTATTATTATAAATAACACTTTACCTCTATTCTACAGTATACCCTGCTTCAGGTGCCTAGGACCTGGGAGCTAACAGTGAATGAGCTCAGTTTCCCTCTCCTTCTTGGGGTGGGGTGGGGGGAACAGTGAGAAAAAAATAGCATGTGATGACGTCAGATGTGGGGGAAAGTCACTTTCTTGCTCTCCGTTTGGGAGCGGGAGACTGGGAGCTTTGGGGACAGATTCCTGCTATAGCAGCAGAGTTTGGGTCCCCCGAAATGGGCTTCACCGAAGGAGGAGAGCATCAGTACAACATCTGAGAAAGTCCACAGCAAGACAGAAAGAGGCAGAACTGCCAGAAGAACTCACAGTTTTCCCTTCGAAGAAAGTGTGTGTGTAAGGGGGTGGGATCGCGAACCGCCTCCACACGTTTCCTGGCTGCAGTGAAGGGGGAACCCCTACTCTCACTTTAAGACGTCCTAGGACATGGCAAGATTGTTTGTGCAGGAAGGGAATCTCCCAGTTTCAGTCAGAAGAGGCAAAACTTTCCTTCTCTCCTCCAGCGCCACCTCCCCTCCACCCCCCAGTTGTATTAAAGGCATTGCCACGGATTCATTTAGAGGGGGGGAAATGGATGCTGGAGCATTTCTAAGGTTTGCAACCCTCGCAAAGTGTCCGGTTTCACTATGGGCTTTGCTGTGGAACAGGGAAAGGGAGGGTGAAGAGGGAGAACTCAAATTCATTACGGGCTCGTAAAAGTCCCAAATGAGGAAAGCGCCCCGATTCGCAGCCCAGTCCGGAGAAGACTGGCTGGGTGTGCATTAGAAAGGTTTTGCCCAAGTCCCTAGTGACAGGCATTGGGCTTCAAAAGCCAGGGTATGGGATGGCGGGGTGTGTGTGTGCAGGGGAGAAGGGGGTGCATGCCACAGGCAGGCATCAAGCAGAAAGCAACTTTGGGGCACTTCGAGGACTTCTAAGTCCTTCTGATCACAACAACCCTGTCTTGCAGTCTTTCAGGGTAACGGGCCCAAATGAAGGGGGGGGCTTACCTCCATTAAAAAGTCAAAGAAATCAATAATCCCCTGGCCTCTTTTCACATGCATCCCTATTGGGTCATCCTCCCCTCCATCCCAGAGACGATCCCTCTGACCATCTCCAACAAGGTGTACGGGCACAAGGCTCCCCAGGGATCAGCCCTCACTGACTGCGGGTCCGGTCCAGCCCCCAGGGGCGCTCCCTGAGTTCCTCCCTAGGGGCCAGGCAAAAAGCCTTCCTAGTGCGCCCATTCCGCAGATGGGGCAAAGTGAGGCTTGCAGCTCGCCCGGGTGCCTCGGTGCCTCCAGCCGGGCGTCTCCCGCCCAGACACACCCGCCAGCCCCCAACCGGCCCCACCACCCGAGCCCGGGCACCCGCCGAGGCGCCCTCGCCTACCTGTGATCACCGCCGGAGACCTCTGGCCCCCCTCCGCTCGCAGCCACACTTGCAGCGTGAACGCGTCCCGGGGCAGCTCGAGGTCCGCCCGGAGGCGCAGCTGCTCGCCTCGCCCGCTGAAATAGAGCGCCCGGCTCGGCGGGTTCGGCTCCTCGGCGGCGCCCCTCGCCTCCCGCTGCTGCCGCCGCCGGGGGACGCGCACGGCTTCCCAGGCACCGCCCG